AACCACCCCCCCTGCCTACTTCGTATATAAGTAGCACCTTCCACATCCTATCACCACAGCTACTGCTCTCCGCAGCTATTCAAATGCTCTGAAGATGGAGGCGCTATGTTCCTCCGAAACGTCGGCCAAAACGAAGAATACACGGTGCCTAAACCCAGAAGACAACTTTCTTCATCTGTTTCCTATCTTTATGTCATGATTTTGCCCTGCATTTTGGTGACAAGACAGCAACATATACTTAGTTTTCTCTGTGTTTACTTCTAGACCAACCTCTTTACTTGCGTCAATTAAAGTTCGTGTTTTTTTCTTTATGGTATCTACATTATCACCCAGTAGATTCACATCATCCCATGTTAGGTGGGTCCCTTATCACCACGGCATGGCGCGTCCTTAGGTTGTAGGTGGAGGAAACGCCCTACAATTTTGGAGGGAAGCTGTGAGTATATTGAATAAGCAGTTGCGGACAGCCGACAAGGGGTTGCCCTGCAGCTTGGGGGTTGGGCGTGGGGATAACAACTCCTCACCGTAAAAAATAAGTATGTTACGAAAATGAACACAAAGCCTCGGACTCTGCATATTGTTGGCTAGTACTTCAAAAACAGACAAAGCAAATTTTCATTCATCCCTCTCAACATTTCATGTCCATTCTAACAGGGGGTGTTTGAGAGTGTGGACTGTGGTCATGCACAACTCATGTTAGATTGATCGGCACACATTCAGACTCATGGCATGGTCCACAAAAAGCCGCGCCACAGCTCAAGTGGTTTGTTGCTGCCTTCCCACCAAGGGGTCCCGGGTTCGATCCCGGGTCTGGTCAAGTGGGATCTGTGGTGGACAAAGTGGCGCTGGAGCGAGATTTCTCTGAGTACTTAGATTTTCCCTGCCAATCTTCATTCCACCAAATTCTCCGTTATCACAATCACCCGGGGCAGAGTACAATGGGCCAATCAGTGGCTGCTGTGCCGAGTGGACCCACTTGGACTCCACCCCCCACTAAGTTAAAAATGGTCCACAAAACTATAGATTATATAAGTTACAAACAAAATTTACCTAGACTACAGCAGACACAGGAAATTATCTCTATTATTCTGAATGAATTCCTGACACCCTTTCAGATAGGTTACACTCATGTGCCAAATTTTTCTTGGGCAACAGAGTAATCTTCCTTTGGTTCTTCAAGCGTGCAATAGTTCTGCTCTGTACACAGTTTGTTTTGCATGTCTGGACAAACAAAAGGCACTATGAGATGAGGACATGAGGATAAAACACCGCTAATAATTCATACCCAAAGTGTCCATCAAGTGCTGCAGTCTTGGTGGAAAAACATATGAAGCCATTCTTCTTTAGTTAACTGTTCCGAGAATGGCAGAGTATCTGCTCCACATACCTTTCAAAATTAACTGTGTTCTCAAAGAAAATTGGTTTTCACTAACACTGCACCATGGACCATTCTTTTTATCATGTAGGGGAACCTCATGTACTCATCCCAGATTTTGTGAACTCTAGAATGTGTGGTTATGTGCATTTACCTCACTGTGTAAATGAAACTAAGCCTCAACGTAAAACTTAGAAGAGGTTCATTTTTTTACACCATGGCTGGACTGAAGGATCCAATTAGGTCAACAAAAATTCAGTCTCTTTGCAAGATGACATGGTTGCAATAAATGCACTATTGTTACCTTACACTGTTTCAATTTCAAGAGCTTTGAAGCAGTTTGTGCTAATGATTTCAAAACACCAGTCTCCTGTGTAAGGCATATGAGGGAATTTCAAAGTGAATGTTAAAGGCTAGCTCAAGTCCAATACAGTAGCATTAGCAACATTAGGATGAGGGTTTATAAGTGGTCTGGAACATAACTCATAAGCTCACTTCATAACAAACATTCAGTGATTTACAGTAATGATATAGAAGATAAAGTGTAATGTGTATAGAAATGATCTGTCTGTCTGCTACGCTATGAGTCTGAATGTGTTCATACCAATCAGGCACAAGAAAATTGTAAAGGGTTCTGAGGATGGTGTATAAAATCAGAACTACTGAGTTTTTGGACTTTGTCCATGGTTCGGTATTCTGGAAAATAGAAAACATAACGACCTGGCACAAACTGCACATGGAAATTGTCTTTGAACAGCAGAAGGATTTGCAGCAGACTCTCAAATAACCTCTCTGTAATATCCGATATGTAAAGGCACTGATGAATAATCTCATAACCTAAGGACCCATTTGATGCTGACGAGCTTCTGAGAGTTATTAAATGCTAAGTATGAAAATGGGAAAACACAGAATGGCTTATTAAATGATTCAGCTTGTAACTTGCAGGCATTTGTACACTTTTCTACGGCATATTCAAATTGCATAATGAAAGAGATTGATGAGAAGTTCTACATGCCAGCTATGAGGTGGACTGAGGTGGTGCAGCTGGTGGACTCTCTGGATCAAGAGACAACTGAAATTATCACGCCAATGTATGTCTTACAACCTTCTATTGTAATCCATCACTGTTCCAATTTCATACAGAATTAACATGCATGATTAATATTAGCATATTTAATGATATTCCCTGAATTGTGTAGGCTGTTAGCTTCAAATGATAGGATGATGACATGAACTTGAAGGTGATATCATGAACTTTCTGGACTGAATTTACTATTACATTTCATGCACTTGGCACTGTAACATGGTTTGACAGGTGATGAGCAAAATATTTTCACAACTCCGACTTCTTTTAACTTTCTTGTGAATGAGAGCCAGTAACTTACTCATGACAATAAAATTCTTATAAACAACTCTGACACATACACTACTTATTGTTGATAAGTTCAAATTACTTAGGCCATGGAGGCCTGTAGGTTTTAAGACATCGAGGCTCCCACATTTTCTAGACACAATGCCACAGATTGTCGTGAGGTTTTCGGCCTTACACGCTGGCCTATATTTACCACCAGGAGGATTCCTGGTACTCATTTCTGTTATTGACTGGATCGATCCCAGGGTAACAGTGGGCTGGAAGGATCAGGTCAATTGAAAAATCTGATGACCTCATCATGAATCAAATCTGCGACCTTCCGGTTTGTAACATAGTGTCTCAACCACTGAATATATATATATATATATTTTTTTTTCCATCAAGTCCAGTACAACTCTGAGGTCTATCAATCTCCCCTTTTGTGAGGCCCAAGGGCTCAATCCTTAGATATGAGGCAACCAGAGCATATTTTCTCCACTCACTTATAATCGCTCTTTGCTGCCCACCTTTGGGAGCCACTTCCTTCTAACCATTCCCTCTCACCTGTTGGTATGTCAAGTTTGCAGGGTGTTGCTGTGCTGGCTTATTCGCCCCTTCTTCCCCTTGTCATGCTACTGTGAATGGGTAGTTGTAGGGGTATGGGTTACAGTGAGGGATGGGTGCCAGTAAGCTTATTGTAAAGGCTCACTATTTGGGAAGAAAGTGGGGTTGGGATGAACCAGAAACTAGTTCTGCACAAGGGAGATGAGATTCCGTCTCAGGGAGTATACAGTGGAGACAAGAGTGACTAATGCTATGCACTACACAACACCGGCTGATGAGCACTCTTAATATTTAAGTAAATAAAATTGGTGATTATGCTAGTTAGATTCAGACTTGATAAACCTACTTAATATGATCTGCGACAGTTCCAATAACACACTTCGAAATGATTTTTCTTCAATTTAAACACTTAAACCAAACTTGGAGTGACACTAATTTTTGAGGCTGGATCCTTGGCGAGTTATTAAGCTACTGCTTTTGCAGATTGACTCTGCTCTGAGGCAAGAAGTCTCCCCAACTTCAGCTCCGCCTCCAAGTCACTACCCTAATTTTGTGGATTGGAATAGTTTGAATTTTGGGAGTTTACTCTAATTCTCACTGCTCCAATCATCTTCTTGTTTCAAGGGACTCTCACCCTTGATGACCGAACGCATTTTTTTGACAGTCGATTGATAAATTCTACTAGTAGCGTGGGCTGCGGGTCCGCCTCTCTATGACTTACGGGGTTCAAAACTTGTCAAGTATAACTTTACCAAAGGATCCCGCCGGTCAACTTTCGTACTGAATTTCCTGAAAAACGCTGCGGTGTGCTTCCTTCCTTGTTTTTGTAGCACGGAAGTAGGCCATACTCTTGAAGTCCAGAACTGGGCTAAGTCACCCTTGAACATTCCTTACTATATCCTAAGCGTAATTACTATAATTATAAAAAAATCTTAATTACAAATAAAGCTGGTGTCAGTGATATGGCTACACACCTTCATCTAATAACAATGTCTAGATTGCATACCTCAACATGCCTTCACAGCACCGTGATTAAGCACTGTCATAACTTTACCTTAGTACATTTGTCTTTATTAGCTATGTACTATAAGAGTCTTGTTAAGTCTAAGATAATTATAATTTGAAACCTATGAAAGTGAATAAGGTTTACAAAAAATCAAATTTAATATACAGATTCAATTAATGCATTTATTAATTCTAATTCAAAACTTGTTTGTTTTCAGTGTGCTAGGTGAGTGGCCAAATACGTATTCATTTACAAAGGCGCTTGCAGAAGATTTGATCAGAGACGAGGCCAGAGGTCTTCCAATTGGCATATTACGACCTTCTATAGGTAAGTGCAGCATGCTTATTGATCCTTCTTAACCAGTACAAAACTTGCA